TCTCTCCCCAATTATTCTGTGTAACAGTCTCCTTTCCCAGGCACAGCTGTAATCCTGCTCCTTCAAAAAGGACGGGTTTCTTTGGAGACCTGTTTTCCACCAACCCCCTCTTGGGATTTTTTTTGCAACTTGACATGTTTGTTGCTGGAGCACAAATAAACCATCCCGTGAGTTCCCCCAGGCTCAGCAGCCCTCGGGTCCTTTAAAAATCCTGACTTTGCACTAATGAGCCTCCTGCCCTCTAGATAGTCCCAGTTTTCTAGATTTAATAAAAATGTAACCTTAAAAGTACAGTGGGATCATCTCAATTTTTTAAACCCACTGTGTATATGGATGCCAGCCTGGTACACAGACCAGAAAACTCTTTTCTTGAAGATTTTCATGCCTTGGTTGCAGGTGAAATAGTTTCCCAGCCATCTCTTTGTAAGCATGGGAGACACATTCTCTTGTTTAATTTTATTCCACTGCTCTCTCTGGTTGTTTCCCTTTTCCCTAGCAGATGCTTTGCACAGTTGCATTGCTGGTGCTTCCCTGTGCTTTAACTGGAGTGCTCTCACTTACCAGGTTAAGTGTAAATAGGAAAGATGGTCCAGGGTGATCCCAACTGCTGTTGTGATACTGAGCCTCACCCAATTTTAACATACCTCATAGGCTCAGGACCTGGTTTGACTTTTTCCTTGGAGAGGACCACCACCTTCTGCCATTTTGTTCCTGGTTTTTGGGGGGTTTTCTTGGTTGTTTGTTTGGTTTTTTTTTCTATGAGATTTCCACAAGGAGCATAAAGGATCTGTCTGCAACGTGAGGCCCACACAGATGGAGAGAGAGGAGCCCTTTCAGTTGCCCCACAGAACTCAAATAATAGATTTGTTTTGGTTGGCAAAGACTTTAAAGATCACCAAGTCCAACCATTAGCCCACCAAACCCCCCACTAAACCTTGTCCCTCAGCACCATGTCTACAAGTGTTTATTCAGGAAATATTTGCCCCTCCTCTTCCCCTCTGCAGAGGGACTTGGCTGCTGGAGCTCAACAGCTGTTTTTTTGCTCCTTATTAACAGGAAAATCCCAGGATTTCTGTGCTCACACCTGGTTTCCTTATCCTCTGTCTGCTGCCTGGGCTGTCTGGGGGTTCCCTGTGCATTGAGACCAGTCCCTGGGCTGTGGGACACCAGAGGGATGAGCACTGGCTTCCAAACTTCCCAAACTGAGCCAGATCCTGATCTTATGCATCCTGCTGAGCTTGGGGCTTGCTGCCCCTGCTGCCTCCTTTGCATGCCAGGCAAACACCTGGGGGGGTAGGACTGGTTGCTATTTATTAGATCATCTGTGTCCATCTTTCTGCTAATTCAGGGTGTTCATGGTCACAATCTTGAATATTACGTGTAGTTTAAAAACCAACTCGTGGTGTCTCTGCACTGCGTTGGGTCATAGAGGGCAGACTGAAATGGGAATTAATTATGTCTGAATTCAAGGATTCTCAATTTGAAAAATAATTGGCATCAATTGTATCTTCTCATGTGAATGTCATGGCCTGCCTGATTTTTACCCAACCTTTTTATTCTGTCATTTATGCCACGTTCTGTTTCCCTGGAATACTCAAGTGAAATCTTTGTCTCATCTCTCTGCTGTGTTTATCTGAAGCTGAACTATCCTCTGGGGATGCATGAACAGAAGCAACATTTTCCTACCACTCATTCCAAGGTGAGGGATTTGCCCAGGTCCTGAGAACAGTGAAGCCTTCACTGGTTGAACCAAAACCATGAATCTTGAGCCTTGAAAAGAGACACAACGTGCAACTTGTAAAATAATCTTGCTGAAGATTAAAATGGCATCCGAGGGGAGGTGGTGTGAGAGGAAACATATTGTCCCCCCCTTCAGGTCCCCAGGACGTGGGCTTTTAGCTGAATGAACTGCAGGCTTTGTAATTAGCAACAAGGCGATTAGATTGTCCGTGTTTCTGGGAGTCGTTTGTGGACTAATTGTGTTTGATTGTTTAATTGCTCTTGTTTCATGTAAATGAGGAGAGGGAGAGAGGGTCCTGCAGGTTCCTTAGGTAGAAGTTGCACGTGCTTTGCTACATCCCATAATGTCAGGAGGGTTACATGCCTTTAACTGCACCCAAACTGCAAAGATGGCAGGTGGAAAGAGGCTGGAGTTGGAGAGGTTGCAAGGGAATTCCAGTTTGTGTTGGAAGCTTTTCTGGTGGCTTTGGTGGGAACTGAAGGGCAGGGAATAAGCGGAACAGACTGAAAGAAAAAGAGGTTAAAAATTCAGTAGGGTAAGGCTGGAGGTGCAGAAATGGCAGCTAGAGCTGGCCAAGCTGCACAGGAGCTCTGGGATCCTGCACAGGGGCTGGGTGGGAAGACTTCCCCTGCAGTTTGGATTTGTCTGGCAGTGGTGACAGGACACAGGTGGAAAGGTGGGGTTTAGGTTTTGCAGCTGCAGAGAGATGCAAAGGGACACCTGTGGTGTCATTTCTGCAGCAGCTTCACCTGGAGAGGAGGGAAGGTGAAGAGCAGTGAATTAACTCCTGCAGTTCTGGGGGATGAGCATCAGGAGGAACTAGTGTTGGGCAGGCTTTGCATGCAGGAAAAGCTCTTCCAGCATCACCACACTGGTCGTAGCTCCTTTGACTTGATTTACCCCTGGTGAATAATCACCACAGCACAGCAGAAGGGTGGTCCTGCTCACCTTCTCTGGTGGGATTTGCTAGAGCAAGTTGTGTGCTGGTCTTTCTGGAGCTCCTCACAGGGGTTGCTCCTCTGGCACGTTGTGCTTGATGCTTTAGGGCTGCTGGGTCTCCTGCCTGCTGAGAGGGAGCTTCTGTTTGCTTTTGCTGTTTTATTTCTCTGCAGGAAAGTTTGCTCTGGGGCACTCTCAGGTGGAGGCTCTTCCAAGTGAAGAGAACAGAGAACATGTCTTCAAGTCAAAGTGAGGTTAGTGAGGTGGCAAACCAGGAGAGGGGGCACAGACAGCAAGGAGGAGATGGAGTAACAAGGTGGAGCTGAGATGTCAGCAGAAGCATCAGCCTCCTGTGAGACTGGGCAAGGGTGGTGAGGAGCTGGAATGGGTTGCCCAGGGAGGTTGTTGATGCCCCAGCCCTGGAGGTTTTTCAGGCCAGGTTGGATGAGGTTTTGTGCAACCTAGTCTAGAGGTTCCCTGCTCATGGAAGGGGCATTGGAACTGGATGATCTTTAGGGTCCCTTCCAACCTTCATGATTCTATGATTCTAATTAGATGGAAATCATCTATGAAAACCCAGTTGCTGCTGGGTGGCTCTCACCAGGCACAGACAGACACGTGTCCCAAAATGCTCCCTGACTGGAGCTGCTGATGTGGTGCTGGGGGTTGTGCAGCTGGTAGCTCCTGTTGTCCTCAGCTCAGGACCATCAGGAGAGTGTTGGCATCTGGCCAGCTCAGCTCCAGCTCCACGTGTGTTGAGCCATGAGGAGCTCCCAAGATGGGAATGGTCCCGACCTGGCACAGGTGCCTCACTCCAGGTGGTATCATGGGGGGGCTCGTCCTCCACACCCCACATGGAGCTGCTGCTCCCACCCCTTTCATCTTTCACGTGGCTGGGAGAGGTTTGTTTCCTTTCTGCTCCTAATCAGGATTTCACTTTCCCCTGGCTGATACGTGTCTGTGGAGCAAACCCAGTGGAAACTGGCATCTCCCCCCTCACAAAGTCAAAACAACAACGAACCACACGACGTGTTATCTGCTTCCCTCACTACTTTTATGGAATTCACAGGGTTTTAATAGAAGGGCTGTTTTCAGAGAAGAGCCAAGGACAATGATGCTCTTCCTGCATGGGCCTCGACTGCCAGGCAAACGTTTGGATGCAGAGGTGGGAGGTGAAGATCCAGCCCTGAAACATCTTTCCTGGGGAAAAAAAAAAGAAGAAACAAACAAACAAACAACAAAGCAAAGAAAATGGGATGTATTAAATAACAGCTGCCACACTTTCAAAGTTCCTGAGGAAATATCTGGGTGTCACAGCTCTCTTGGTCAGCCTGGGTGGAAAAAAAAACCAACTGGCCCCAACCCTGTGTGTGCTGGATGGATGCCAGCAGCCAAGGGAAGCTGATGGCTCCTGCCTGCTCAGCTGCCACGTCCTCTCAGCCCTCTCCTGCCCTGCTTGGGTTTTGAGGCATGTTTTCATCATTTGTAAGGAATGGTGTTAATAGAAGCTGTGTGTGCAGTGATGCATTAGCACTGTCTGCTCCTGGAGGGCTCCCCCACAGCCTGGGCCCAGGGGATTGAGATGCTCCTGAAAGCTGCTGCCTTTTGGGATGGCTTCATGAGAGGTACCCCCATGGGTGTTTGTTTCTGCTTAAATTAGTCCCCTTCATGCAGGGACTTGGGAAAAATGCTCTGATAATTTGTCACAGGGGGTATAAAGCCCTTTTGAGCAGGAGTGAAGAAAATGGACTCATGGCTTGATGTTATTTAGAGCAGCTGGCTGGAGGCAGAGACAGCCTGCAGTTCCTGAGACACGGGGAAAGCAACGTGGAGCTTTGGGCTTGCCAAAAAAGGTGCATTTCTGAAGGATGTGATGCTGGGGTGGAGTGTGGGGGACCCACTGCTGCTCCTGCAGGCATCCCGGGGGGGGTCCAGCTACCCCTCTCCTTTCTTCCTGGCCTAACTCTGTGCTTCCCCAGTATTCTCTACAAGCAGCAGTTAAACCCCAACACCGTGCGGACTCTGACGGCTCCACCAACATCCTACTGAGGCTTTGGAAACCAGTTCAATAGCAAACCCCTACCCACCCAACCACCCTTTTCCCCTCACCCTCCCTCTCCGGGCGAGGGGTCAGGGATGTCATTTCCCAGGGATGTCACTGAAAGCCCAGCCAAAGCACCCAAGGGGTTTGCACGGCGGGTTCGGGCTGTTGACGGTGGCCGGGGCTCACTGGTGGGTTTGCTCTGCTGACCTTTCTTCTCTGCTGTCCCCCAGGTGGGGTTTGTTTCGGCCGCCGCATGAGTTACGTCCTCGCCCGGCGATGGCCCCGCAGCCCACGCTGGCCTGGGTGCTGCTGCTGCTTGCCCTGCTGGCCAGCTGCCTGCCAGGTGGGTGGCCCAGGGACTTCACCATCAAGGACATCGTCTACCTCCACCCTTCCAGTAAGCCACCTTCCCACGGGGTGCCAAGCCACGGGTGGTGGCAAGGAGGAGGGTGAAGAGGGGGGCTTCGGGGCAGCGGGAGCCTGGGGGTTGAGCTGGGAGCCCAGCAAAGGTGACAACAACGTCCCCAGTGCTGGTCAAGCCAAGCTGAGGTGGCAGCAGGACGTTGCTTCTCCAAAGGGTGGAGGGAACTGTGGCCCACTTTGGAGAGGTGGGATGTAAATGCTGCTCCTGGGAGAGGGCGAATCAGGAGAGGGGGGGGTGGCTGAGTAGTTACTTGGAGGAGGTTAAGATCCTAAGGGTCTTTTCCAGCCTGAATAGTTCTATGATTCTATGATCTTTTCCTGAAATGATGCTGCAAGGAAAATGATGGTGGTCAGTATGAGTCTCCAGTACCTGAGGGGGCTCCAGGAAAGCTGGGGAGGGGCTTTTTAGAAGGACAAGGAGTGATATGATGAGGGGAAGGGAACAGTTTCAAAGCTGAAAGTGGGGGAAATTTACATAATAAATTAGGAAGAAGAACTTTGTTGTGAGGATGGTGAGAGCCTGGTCCAGGTTGCCCAGGGAAGCTGTGGCTGCCCCATCCCTGGCAGTGTTGAAGGGCAGGTTGGATGGGGCTTGGAGCAACTTGTGCTGGTGGAAGGTGTCCCTGCCCATGGCAGGGGGTTCAGCAAGATGATCTTTAAACTCCCTTCAAACCCAAACTAGTCTGGGATTTGAAGAATTGCTGAGAATAACTTTTTGTTCACCATCTTCTGCTCCTCCATAATCTCTCTGGCCATGAGACCAAGCCCCTTTGCTCAACCACGTTGGTAGCTGTGAGCAAGGGCTGACAGAGCCAAGGAGCTGTGGCACCAGCCACTCCTGACCTTGTTCCAGTCGTGTCCTGAAGCAAAGTTATGAGATCTTCCATGGGCTCTCCTGTCACTGGCCTGTTCACTTTATCAGATATCAACTTATTTAATTCTACAGGGAGAGGGTGTTTGAGGAGCTGGACCTGCCATCTCTTCCCAGGGGAGACTCACCACCTTTACAAACTTGGCTGAAAAATGTATATCCTGTGCAAGATTAAATCCCTGTTTGATGCCATAACCACGACCTGCTAGAGGTCTGGGTGGAGAGGGGTGAATTTAATTGGTGCTGTTGTGTTGTCCCACCACGAGCTGCTCCTTGAGGGCAGTACCAGCCCCACCAGCAGCATTCCCAGGTGATTTGCTGGCCCTTCCCCAGAGGACCCTGGGGAAACTGTGTCACCAGTGTCTCCTGTGTCACCTCTCCTACCCAAACAGGGTCTGGCCTGGAGCTGGTGGGCAAGGGGTGAAAGAGGAGGGAGAAGTGAGACCTATGGAGGTTCAGCTTACTTTGCCCCATGGAGATAAATGTGACCCCTTCACCATTTGGCTTCTGAGAAGGTGGCAGCATCTTGAAGATTACTGAATGTGCTACAGAAGCCCTGCCAGGAGACCACTTAAGAAATTATGCTCTTTATTTGGTGAGATAAACTAGGACAGGGCCTGCTGATAAAAAACAGGAGGTTCAGCAAATTGTTTTTTCTTTTCTTTTGGGACATCAACCTGCCTTCAAAAGGGGTGACTTGTTTCCTCAGCAGGGCAGGTTTCAGAAGTATTTAAATCCCTCTGATATTCTGTTATCAGCACTGATAAGGTTGCAGTATTGGATGTGAGCTCTGATAGCCAGAGAATTAGTGCTCCTTGCTCTCATTAACTGCCTTTGAAGTCAGCAGAAAACCCCATGTCTGAACTGAGTCCTCGGTGTGTCTGTATCTGCTGTTAGAATCCCAGACTGGTTTGGGTGGGAAGGGACTTTAAAAACCATCCAGTCCCAGCCCCCTGCCCTTGGCAGAGACACCTCCCACCGGAGCAGGTTGCTCCAAGCCCCATCCCACTCAAATCCTGCTGGCAATAGGATTTTGATCAAACAGGGCCCCCTTGGCGAAGTGGTGTACCTGTAGGAGGACGGATCCAAAGAGCACCAGTGCAGCTGTGAGGAGCACAGAACTGGCTCGTTTTAACTGCACCTTGTCTGTTCCTTCCAGCCACCCCGTATCCCCACGGATTTAAGTGCTTCACCTGCGAGCGGGCAGCGGATAATTACGAATGCAACCGCTGGGCTCCTGATGTCTATTGTCCAACAGGTAACCAGCCACACCCTCGCCTTTCATTTCAACCCCCCCCTGAGCCCCTCTCCTTCCCAGACCACACTCTGAGGGAGGTGTAAGGGACACCAGTAATCCTTTAAGCTTTTCTGTCTCTCTGTGGTGGAGGAAGTTGAGGACTTTGATCTACTCCCCTTGCTCCTCCGGCTCAGGTGGGAATTAAATTGGGTGGATGTTTATTGAAGGGCTGTATTTCTCCTGCTGGTGAGTACAGGACTGGTCCTTGCTTTGTCCACTTCCCTCCCCTAGGGCAGGAGCCCACACTTCCAGGCTGCCAGGATCTCTTCTTTGGCTGGCATCAAGATATTGTCAGTATTTTGGGCTCATAACTCCCATTGGAGTCTGAAGCTGGGAACAGCACCCAAATATCAGATCCAGGTAGCAGTGAAGTCCCCAGATCTCCTCCTTCCTCACCACTTCTCTCTTTGAGATGCTGCCAAGGCACTAAGATTGCCCACAGCCCCAGGGGAAGGTCTGAACCCAGGCTGGGCTGTGTCCTCACCAGCGTGGGGACCACGTGTGGGCAGAGGGAAGGAGGTGGCCAGGGCTCTCTGCTCCCTTCGTGCTCCCCATGGGCTCAGCAGCCCTGCTCAGTGTCTATCCAGGATGTCTGTGGTCTGTTGTGGGACGTGACAAGTGTCCCTTAGGAAATATTTCTTTTGGAAGGAGAAGGACAGTGACCTGCACCGTGGGGACAAACCAGCTGTGTTTGCAGCCTGGGGCAGAGCTCTTATCTGCCTGAACACTTATTTTGTTTGGGCTGAAATCAGCACAACATCAGCAGCGCTGAAAGGGATGAGGCTGGCTGGCATCAGGGGAGACCAGTGTTTGTGGACACTCCCTGTTTTGACAGGAAAAGGTGGTGCTTAAATGACTAAGGGCAGTGTCACCTGTAGATCACAGTGCGAGGAGAGAGGCATGACTGCAGAAGGCATGGAATCCTGGAATGGTTTGGGTGTGAAGGAACCTGAAAAACCATCCAGTTCCAACCCCCTGCATGGGCAGGGACACCTCCCACCAGCCCAGGCTGCTCCAAGCCCCATCCAACCTGCCCTTCAACACTGCCAGGGATGGGGCAGCCACAGCTTCCCTGGGCAGCCTGGGCCGGGCTCTCACCACCCTCACAGGGAAGAGTTTATTCCTCATATCCAACTTAAATCTCCTCTCTTCCAGTTTTAAGCCCATCCCTCCCTGCCCTTGTCCCAAGTCCCTCCCCAGCTTTCCTGGAGCCCCTTCAGGCACTGGGAGCTGCTCTAAGGTCTCCCTGGAGCCTTCTCTTCTCCAGGCTGAACACCCCAGCTCTCCCAGCCTGGCTCCATAGGAGAATGCTGACTTGACCAAAAAGAATTCTAATCTAGAAAGCAAAATCAGGACTGAATGACTGTTCAGGGGAGGAAAAACCCACACTATTATGTTATGGCAGCTTTTTTCTTTGTTGCTTTAGTTCTCCAATGTGATTTTTGAGTTCACCTAAGGAAGCCATGGAAATGCCAGCTGGGCTTTGAGGGGTGACTGCAGGAGTGCTTGGGGCTGGGGTTGCCTGCTTAGGTAATGAATTACCTTATCCCTCACTCCAGGGATCTGGAACCTTGTTGTTTTTCTTGGTTTAAGTGGTGGGAGCAAACAGGCAAACTCCATCCTGCTCTTTGCTCCTGTCATCATCTTCTGTAAGACAGAATGCTACTAAAACCAAGGAAAACACAAATATTTTCATTAACTACGATGTAGGGACCAAAAGGGAACAAAGTTCATGATAATGGAGAGTGAAATCATGAATCCCTGCATTGAGCAGAGGTTAGAAAAAGCATTTCCTAGAAGGAGGGCCTCCTGCTGTGCATTAACCTTGTGTTCTGGTATTTCTTAGCTTCAGCTCAAGCAGAAACTGTCAGTGATCTAATTTGTATGGAAATGCTGCCCTCGAAACACCCCCAGTGCTCTGGTTTTGGATGGCCTGTGGGAGCCCTGACAACTTGCTGATGGCCACTTCACATGGTCTGATGTTCCAGCCACTGGGGGGTGAACCCAAAAAGCACTGTGAGGGGCTGTGGTCTGGGAAATGGGCTCTCAAAAGTCAAGGTGTGACTCTGGGCCCTTGGAAAGACCAGGTTCTGTGTTCCTCTGCTCGGTTGAAAGCAGAGAAGGAAAGCTCCAGGGATGCAGGCCTGGGTTTGCTGGGGAATGGGCTTCCAGGCAAGGTGCTGGGAGAAGCTCAAAGCTCTTCTGCTCCTCAAAAGCATGAGCTTCACCCCTTTGGGCAGGAGAGCCTGGAAAATGGGTTAAAATCCAGGTGTTGTAGCCCTGGGCAGTTTGAGGGAAGCCAGGACATGGAGCAGCTCCAGCCGCGGTGAGAAGGGAGGGCTGTTTGCTGTGGGTGTCACACCTGAGTGAGGAGCAGGTCAAAGTCAAGACAGGTATCAGAGGGGTTTTATTGCCTCAGGAATAACGTGGTCAGGCAGGAAGCTCCCTCAGCTGCTGCCCAGGGCCCGCACCATGAGAAATGTGGGGGGATTTGCCCAGCAGAGACCAGGGCTGGACAGGAACGGTCGCTTCCAATTCATCACACTCTTTTCCCTCTCAAACCCCTATGAAAGCAACAGTTTTATTAATAATACAGTTGCTTACTAAGAAGCAAGGTATCACTTAGAGCTGGCATCTATCATGGCATGTTTCCTGGGTGGAAAACCCAGGGGCTTCCCATTGGAGTGCAGGGAAGGGGAACAGCACCTTCAACTTCCCTCTGATGACTAAAGCATGAAATGAGCCCAGATTCCTGAGGACAACCACAGCACTTTGTCAGTCACCCAGCTTGGAATTTTCAGTGTGTTTTGCAAGTGTCCCTAGAGGAGCAGCTTAAAAAAAGGAGGACAGTGTCCCCTGGGGATGAGGAAGCCCAGAGGAGAAGCGTGCAGAAGATGTGATGGGAATAGCAGGGGGACAGTCCATTTCATGGTGGTTATTTCCAGAGACTGGGAAGCTGAGAAGTACCCAAATCCTCTCACTGCTCTGCTGGTATTTGTAGTATATTTTGCTTGAGAGATAAATAAATATTGTGAATATTGTCTTTTTTTTTAAAGACAATTCCTGGAGAACTTAGAGTACACGAGATCTGGGGTGTTCATCTGAACCTCCTTCTGTAACTTGATTATCCAATCTGTCTTTCTTTTGACCTACATTAGTATTGGGAACAAATCTCCATGTTCCAGAGTGTTTTAAAACCCCAGCTTTGCACCAGAGCTTGGGGTGTGGCTGTATATTTAGTGACATTTATGTGCTGCAATAAATACATCAAAATTATAATTTTATTTTTATCCCAAGATTAAAACAATTCAAGAAGAAAGATCTTTTTCCTATTAGTTCCTATTTGTAGGCTATCACAAAACTCAAATTGGACAGATAAACACATTCTTCTGTCTTTCTAGGTACAAGATACTGCTTCAGCCAGCACATGATGAAGGTGACTGGAGAGAGTGTATCTGTCACCAAACGCTGTGTCCCACTGGAGGACTGTCTGGCCACTGGTTGCACTTATGTGAAGCATGAAGAGTACAAGGTATAGGAGAAAAAATTGCCTCTTTCTCTTCTGAAAACTGGGCAGAATCCTTCTGGCCTCTGCCTGGAGTCTGACTGGTTCAGTGGGTAAATCAGGATTGTCAGGAATGCAGTTTCTCTTTTTAACCAGCTCCAGCTCGTTTCCATTTGTTACAGAAACAAAGGAATAATTCTCCCAGAACAATAGAATCATCTCTTTAAATAACTCTTTGAAAACCTCAGGGGAACAAACCACTCCCTTCTGCTTGAGGAGTGAGAGCTTGGCCTGCAGAACAGGACCATGTTTGGTGCCCTCTGCTCACCAACCATCTTGGGGCTTTCTTATTGAAACTGGTCATGGAGAGTTGCCCTATTCCAATGGGGAAAAGCTCCAAAAGCCTTCAGAGGAGGTGCTTTATATTTGAATTGATCAATTCTTTATTAAAGATTTTCCTGAAGGTCAAGAGTTGACCCGTTTGAACTTCCCCACCAGCTTAAAATAATTAAAAGAACAGGTTAAAATCACTTTTGGAGCTGCCAGGCTCACTGCAGCCCCATCTCTGGGCTGTACTTCAACCAAACAACGCTGGGTTTCATCAGTTTGCTTATTTGGGATGGAAAAATTAGCTTCAAATAGTTGCTTTGAGCAAGTTGGTCTTGTGGAAGGTGTCCTTGCCCATGGGGGGGGGGGGCGTTGAAAACAGATGATCTTTAAGGTCCCTTCCAACCCAAACCATGCTGTGAGTCTAGGAAAAAAAAATACCCTTTTGAAAATGGTTGTGTCCACCTGGCACCAGCCATCAACCTGTTCCTGCAGAGGTGAAATTGCACCTGAGGAGATGGGTTTGAAAAAATAAAGGGGGGAGGGAGAGTTGGGAGGGGGGGTGGAGGGGAAAGGAGGGGTGAAGAAAATCAGGCTGGCCCTTGTGCTCTTTTGCGAGTGTCATATTATTTCCTCTCTGTGTTCACTGGGTGCCACTGGCACCTTTCAAGATGAGGAGGTTCTAACCTGGCTCCTTTCAGGTCTGCACCTCCTGCTGCGAGGGCAGCATCTGCAACCTGCCCCTGCCCAGGAACACCAGCGACGCCGTCTTCACCACCCTCTCCCCCCCCAGCAAAGCCCAGCAGCTCTCCCGGCCCCTCCTGCTGACCACGGCCTGTCTCTTCTGCCTGGCCTTGATGTCACAGCCCTGGGTCACCCCAGGGTCTCACGGCTGAGGCTGGTACAGACACTTCTCTTAACTCCTGCCTTTGCTGCGCGGAGAAGCGTGATGGGAGAGAACCCCCTGCCAGCTGCTCTGCCCTTCACTCACACAGCCCAACCTCCCTTGTGATGCACTAACCCTGCTGTCTCCTTAACCTGCCCCGAGAACACACCATAAATAACAGTCTTTGCAGTCTCCCCACATCCCCTTTCCCTCTGGGAGAGGGGCAGCAGTTGGCAGAAGGCAGCAGCAGCAGCTGGGTGAGGCTGAAGGAGCAGCAGCAGCTTGGGTCAGGCTGGCCCTGCACACGAGAAGCTTCCTCCAAGGTTGTCCACCTGCAGCCCCAAGAGCCACCCCCCTCTGTGCCAACCCCCACGTGGCTTTGCTTGATAAACCAAACCAGAGGTGCTCAACAGGTTCCATTCCAGAGGCGCAGGGAAGTGGGTTTGCAGTCCTGGACCCCCAGCTCCAAGGAGGAAGGTGTGCAGGGAGAAGGTGAGTGTCCAGGCTGAGATGCTGGTTCCTGCTGTTTTGGGGCTTTACACCTTGTCCCATTTTGGCACGTGAGGAGAGCACACTGATCCTGAATAGCTTCTGTTCTTTTTATTTCATGTGCTCTGGCTGTGAAACCAGGGCTGTCACTGGCTGCAGCTTTGCTCTGGTGACCTGTGTTGCTGGTTTTGCTCAGAAACCACGTATGCAATATTTATTTTTGTATGTTGAGTTGGAGCTAAAGGGGTTTTAAAGATTCTTAACTCTGATATCACCAGGCAAAGTGGTTGTTTTGCAGCTGGTTAATCCTGTAATATATAAATTATCATAAATATATATATATATAAAAATATATAGATAATGTTTTGCATCGCTATTCAAAAAGAATCAGCCCTGTTTTGCAGGGTCAGTATTAATGGCAGGGTGTCCATGGACTTGCTTTACTGTTAAACCAAACTTAAAAAGCCAACAAACCAGCAAAGACCAAACAACCAAAAATGTTACAGTCATAAAATGTTGTTTTCTGAGCTAAGTTTTGGCTCCTGCTGCTCCAAGGTAACTTGTTACCTCCTGGCTGCCTTGGCCTTCCAGTCAAGCTTCCGCCAGTGTCTTGTGGCATCTCCAGATGTCACCTCCCTCTGTTTTCCAGACAATTTGCAGCTTCAGTGTTATCTAACCAAACTCACCCAGCCTAACACATGCTAACTCCGAGCTAGACATGTATAACCACCTGGGCTGGGCTGCAGGAATGGCTGGGTTCCTTCGTCAGGAGGTGTTGGGCTTTTAGGACCACTTCCACCACGTGAAAGGTGAGGCACCTGCACTGAGATGACATGGGCCAGCTCCTGGTGTGCACCAACAGATGGGCCATTCACTTTGTGTTCAGGTGGATCTCAGGCAGGCCAGGGACCTTCCTGGGTACCTGGTAGTGCTCTCTGCCCACAAAGACCCTCTTTTTTGCTTTGCTGCTGGTCAAAGGTAGTTATTGATGTCGCTTTAAGCCCAGATACTCACACTTCTTTTGTAGTTGGTGGAGGAGAAAGTGGCATCATGGACATGGAGCTTAAATGAGCAAATGAAGGTGACTGGTAGGAAGCAGGGAACCAGCACAGGACCCTGTCCTGTGCCAGCAGGTCACTGTGCCCCCTCTACCCACCGAGCTCTTGGGGTTTGTTTTTTAAAGCCCCTAAATGCTGAGCTGCACCCTATTTATTTCTGGGCTCTACATATGTAATATTCCTTTGAAAGGTCTAATGTTTTTTAACTCTTGTAAATGCTGTACATTTGTATAAATAAATGTTTTAAATCTTCAGATGATGTGTGAGGTGTCTGAGAACAATGTCCCACTGTCATCACCAGCCCCTTTGCACTGGGACACTGCTGCCCTGGGCTCTGCACAGCCCCAGTTCCCACATCCTTGCATGGAATCAATGCAAGGAACAGGAGCACAGCAGACTGCAGCACAGTCACTGGCAGCTCCTGAGCTGCCTCTTAGTCCTAAAATAAGTGTCCCACTAATGCCCGGAGGTTCCCAGATATTCCCAGTCAAGGCTGCACCACAACTTGCTTCTTTCACCAAGGAACAACCAACAAGTTGGAGTCAGAGTCTGGGAAATGGTGTCATGGAACCTCTGTGGAGCTAGTGGGAAAGGAAATAGAAAAGGCACTTAAAAATATGTGTGATGGAATTGATGGCAAACAGCAGCCAGTGCTCACGACCTGAAGGTGTAAACCTTGGAGCTGGAAATGCCTGAAGGGGCATCAGTCGAGCATTAAAGAAAGAGCAACACGGGACCAGACCCTCTGAATCAACCCCTTCTACATCCTGCAGCAGCACCATTCCCAGTGCATGTCAAAATGGGCTTCCAAATTTTGTTGCATCTCACTAGTACGTGCCAACCTCATGAAATCATTGATTGGTTCTTGTACCAATGTCTCTTTGCTCCTCTCCTGCACATTAATCCCAAAGGCCACTTAGATTCCTCCTTAGCCAACCATCAGCCCAGGCTGATCTAATAACTTCATTCCTCTAGCATTGACATGATATATTTGAAAGCATTTTAAATATATCTATTTCAACTTCCCTGTATTTATGGGTTTTAGAGGTTTCCTATTCCCTTTTTTAGAATTTCATCAGACATGTAACCTTTGCACAGTTCATCCCATGGAGCTCAACAAGTCTCAGACTAAAAACCATAGCAGGGTATCTTCAGTGTGATGGAGCCTGTCCATAACACAGGCAAACAAACCCAACATGGGGCTGAAGATGCTGGAAAAATGAAGCTAGTGCTAGGAAGCTGGCAAAGAAAACCTGCCAGAGTATTTCAGGAGGAGAAAAGCCAGCTCTGTTGGTGTTTATAAATGCTTCACTACTCTCCAATGTAAAATTTAAATAGCTTTATATGTGCACCAGCTGTTTCTATCAAGCTCTGCTGAAGACCAGCTAAACTTCAACCTCTCACTCCACATCTGTGAGAAATGACTAAGACAAAAAAAAGTGTTGACTTGGGACAGTGACAAGGGGCTGCCAGCCAAGCCCTCTCTGCTGCCAGGTGCTGGAAGGAGAATATTTGAAGTAAGTAACTAATTTGAAGGGGTAACTTGCTCAGGTTTTCTTGTAAAAAATGGAACTTATCCTGCTGCGAGGCTGTGTGCCATGCAGGGCTATTGCTGGAAAAAAACCAGCCCATGGCAGGTGTCCTGGGGAACAGAAAGATCAGGGGTGATTTTCCTCCCCCTGTAGCTGACCACCTGGGACAGATATTTCTTGCTGTTCACACTCAGCCCACGTCTCACCCATCTAAGCACAAGGTAGGGTCCAACACGTGCCCCCAGACGTGGCTTTTTCACAACTCAAATGCTGGCTTGTCACCTGAAAACATCCCCCAGACCAACACTTGGAGTTTTCTCCAAGGCAAATGGATTCCAACATCTTTGTTTCCTGACACGTAGCCTCTGCGGGATATCACTGTCTCTCTTTTGGACCCAAACCCCTTCCCAAAGTCCAGCCCTCAGGCTACATTTGCTTTCCCTCAAGCTTTCCCAACCTGCCAGAGGCTGTGTGTTTAGCAGCAGAGATTACTTTCTCGGTGAAGCATAACACCCAGCTGCATGAAATTTCAGTCTCATAATCCTGTTAGGTTCCCCCTGTCAGACTCTGCGCCGACAAGACCTTTGTGTTTGTGCAGCTCCTGAAAGAGCAGCCCGAGCCTCACTGGGGAAAAAGAAGCAATAAAAGCAAGAGTTGCCATTGCCAAGGCAAAGGGCTGCTATGCTAAAGGCACTGCAGCAGCCTGGGGGAGAGAAAAGCCACAGTCAGTTTGCAACTATTATTTTTTGTCAGGTTTTTTTTTAATGTAGATTTCAGGTTTGGGAGCTGGGCTTAAAGCTCCACCATCAGCCTTTGGCTTTACTCCAGGTAAGACCATGGTTTCTTTCCTTAATGGATGATGGCAGGAGACTTGTGCAGAGGGTAAAAAAACCCAACAAACCCAGCTATTTCTTGTCCTCACTGTGGGTGTTGGTGTGTAGCAGAAAAAGCTCAATCATTGCACTAGAAATTCAGAGCTGGTCAATGCATTTTCAGTTTAATTTTCATTGGGATATTTTCAACAGGTTTTCAGGACCAATTTTGTTCAGTGGGTAGGCAGGAGCAGGGATGGAAGGGGTTCATTTTACTGACATTTTATCTATAGACATCTGAGTGTTTTTTCAGACTCCCAGATTTACTAGCAGGGCTTGGACCTGATGGCCTCCAGAGCCTCTTCCACCACAAGAAAGTCTGCAGTGATTTTCCAGCATCAGAGCCAGCAGAAAACCCAAGTAACAGAAGGCTGGCAGAGAGAGGAAATACCCTACAATTGCCCATACCAGTGAACCTGATCTATTAAGTTAAATTGTGAAGGAATCCTTCCTTCAGAACCAGATTTCCAGGCTCTGTGCATGCACCTAAAACCTCAACTTGTGTAAGAGCCAGGCAGGCACAGGACTATCCCTCTGTCTGCACCCTGCATCTTCATACACAGCTTGCCTGCCATCCATCCATCCATCCATCCATCCATCCATCCATCCATCCATCCATCCATCCATCTGCACGTATTTATGTCTCTTCAGAACTATGAGGACAGGACATACACAGAGCAGGA